CAAGGAAAGGTTTGACAGGACAGGAAATAGGCAGGGTCATAGAAGTTTACTTAATACCGAAACTTATTTAACCATCTTTAAGCCAAAATACAAAGATAGTTATTTAAAAAAAAAAAATAGAAGGCAGTGGGGGGGAGGGAAGACAAATGCAGGAGCACCGGACTGTGCTATTACAGGAGTAGCAACCAATACAGAAACTAGGGAACCTTAATAAAAATTCACATAATTCAGGTTACTATATGTCACCTGCCTCTTTTGGGTTAATACCTATTAAGTAAGTTTTAATTTATGTCCCGAACTTGCAGCAAGAGGCATTCGATTTGAAGAATCCAATGCAGAGTTTACCAAGCTATATACTAGTTTCATTACAATGCAATCCTTAAGTAGACTGCATTCCACTTAAAGGAATGGAAGAAGGGGGAGTAAGAAGAGAGTGAATATGAAAGATAGGAAAAATGTTGCTGTTCATTACAATTTTCCATTTTTGTTGAAACACAGCAGGAGAGCAAAGCCACAGGCTTCTCTGCTGCTTTTGCATGCCAGGAGGGATTATGCAAACACTGCAACCACCCAAATCTTATTTAAATTATAGTCATTGTTCCCCTTTTTAATGGTTACACTTTTGCCTGCTTTCACTCAAATATTGCTGCATCTTGCTTTCTGCCAACACAGTCCCAATGGGAGTCATCAACTCTTAATTATTGATGAACAGATCTTTGAAAAATATCTCTGGGAAAAAAGTTGAAAAGAAAGCAAACTTTAAGTGCCATCTAGTGGCTGACCTACTAAAAAACGTTAAATCTAAAAAATTCTTAACATGCCACAGAGTAATATAACTGTAGCTGAACTGAGGAAGTAGTGTTTATATTCACAACCACTAAAGACCAGGCTAATATTTCAGGGAACTAAGAAAAGGACTAAAGATCAATGGTATCATTACCATAATTGTTCTTTTAAGATTTTTGTCTGTAAGTGGAAAGTTCAAATGGTAGGAATTGTATAGTATAGTGATCACCTGTTCCTTCAAGACCCTCATCAGCTTATCAACTTCTACCTTGCTAAGGAAATACAAGTTGTCACATGTATTTCAGTCCAAATCAGAAAATAGAACCCAAACCATGGGGAGGTGGATCTGGCGTCAAGTATTCGAATTCAAAAGTTATCATTCTCTTCCAAATTCACCTGGGGTTGAAGGCCAGATTTTTTTCTCTATTTGTAACAAGTCAAATCCATTTCTAAAAGAAGTGAAGCAGATTATTAGTTAGTAATGTCCTTTTCCTTTCCCTGCAGGAAAAAGCCATTTTCTGCTGTAGATGAGAATTCCCAAAAATTATCTTCCATTATAAAAGCTCCATGTTCCATTCACACAGAGGACATTCCATAAGATCATTCCCCAAGCTTTAGGTAACTCCTCTTGGAGATAACCTGTCCCTTCTCCAACAGTAGTTGACAGTCTAAACTTAAATAGCTTTATCTGAACCTGTTCAGTGATAATGGAGAACAGCCCAACATAATTTTTATTTAATGTAATTTTCATTTCGGGTTTTTTGCAAACAGCATTATATTTTGGACTTGCTTTGGAGCTTTACCTCTCTTCAGTTTCATACCTATAGTGAGTCCTGGGGATCACACCTCAGTGACAGGTTCGGGACACATGAATCTGTCTAGACAGAAGACCTATGCATGTTAGTGTCTAGCGTCTCGTGAGGTTACTTGCACGAGCATGTTGTTCAGTCAAGGACACAGCCAGTTTTTCACTGAATTACAAAACTAATTTACAACTAGTTAATTTAGGGAGAAGGATAGATCTCAGATAAAGTAATGAACAAGATCAACGTGTTTCCCAGTCCCCTCTTCCTTTTGCTAATATAAAAATTTTTAAACATTCTGATTCTTATTTAGAACAGGATTAAATGTGCTAATTAATATAAAGAGGGAAATTTCTTGAAGAAGTGCCTAACTATCTTCTTCCCCTTGCTTATAGGGAGAGAGTTAGTTTTATGAGTAAGAGTAGGGAAGTTAAAAACTAGCTTCTGCAACAGATAACTGTTCTGTGCCTCCTGTGTATGTTTGCCAGATCTCTATACCACAAAAGTATTTTATCTTAGTAATGTTAATGGAAAAAGGGAACATTAAAATAATTTGGAGGATATTGCTTTTCATACTAATGAAACTGTGGACTTTCTTTAAAAAAATAAGTAGGCAAGTATGGTTTGAACCAGAAAGTAGCAAATACTCTTGTCAGAATTTTCTACTCACTACCTATAGAAGAAGCTTCTAGAGGTTTCAATACAGGCCCTAGTCTGCAGTAGGAAGTATCAACTTAAGAACTTGCAGTACATTGGTATGTAACTCTTGTTGCCTGGTTAAAAGTATTTGTCTTTATCTATAGATTTGCTACTCATATTGAAGCAAAACCCCAACACTATAAAAGGAATTATCAGAATTTGTTACCCTAGTGCAATAGTTTGAGGCACAGGGAGGAGTTCAATGTAGGGGTGAGTCTGAAAGCATTTCTGTTGTTTCAGATAGTCAGCCTTTTCCAAGGTCCTGCTGGGAAGAGCCCTGCAGTAATCTTAAACTCATTACATGCTTCTCTAGATAAGTATTGAAAAATGATGAAAAGGAACTCCACTATACCAATTTTCAAAATAAGTGATCCCTTTTTGGTCACAACACTTAGAAAACGGTCTGTATGTTGACAGCTTACGGCAGACATGGATTTGTAAATTTCACATACATTTTTACATAAATTTGTAAACTTATGTTTCTTCCTCCTGTCTGAGAGCTTCCGAGATAGTGCTTTTTCTAGCAAATACTATTCCTTCTCATCTCAGAATCTGGGCTATTAGTATTACTTTCAAAAATGGAAATTAGATTCATTTCCAACAGGTACAACAAATGATAAGTATCAACAAAACTTCAACTTTTTCCTTGTAGATTGCTGTTCCAAGCAAGATCATCTGGTAGTATCTTTTAAGAACAACTTGCATCAGGGTGAGGAGAGAAGAAAAGAGGAGCAGCAAAACTTGCTCTGAACTTACAGTCCATGAAGAGAAAAAAGCTTTACATGAAAGGACTGTAATTATTTTAAGACCTTTAAATAGCCTAGGTAATTGAAGTTCCTTGTTGGCAAGGTATAGAATGGAAGAAACTTAGTGTCAAGATCAGCTTTTCTAATTCATTTAAAACTTCATTGGTATAATGTGCTTCTTGCTTACAATAGGCTTTTGCACGAAAGCCTGCTTATGAATGTCTGGGTACAACAGCTCTAAGTACAGTGTTGTGACAAGGGTGCAGGGGAAAAAAAACCAACACGGACTGATAAGCATGTAATGTACACGGCAGGAAACCTGCTTATGAATGTCTGGGTACAACAGCTCTAAGTACAGTGTTGTGACAAGGGTGCAGGGGAAAAAAAAACCAACAGGGACTGATAAGCATGTAATGTACATGGCAGGAAAGACTTCTATCCTAGTCAAAGATTAATGCACTTACTGTTTCAGCACTGCCAAGTCAATGTAATGACTATCCTATGGTTGAAGGAATCCAAATGCTGTCATATTACATTTCCAGCTCCTTGGGGAAGGGGACGGGTAAAATGTATGAAATGTGAAATGTTTTGGGCCTACTTCCCTGTAAATGGTTAGTCCTAGACAAGGACATGAAACAAATACCAACAGGATTATTATGATCTGAGACTACCAAGGAGAATAATGCTGTGAACATCTTAGGTCCTTTTGTAGACTACCTCTCCTCTGCTGAAACAATACTTAAAGCAAAATATTTCATACCTGTGACCTTTCAGCTAAGAAAAACTAAAAAGAGAATACAGACACCTGCAGAGAAAAAAACAAATTGAAAGCCTCACAGCCTTTTCTAATTCTTTTTTTGTGAAGTTACAAAATACTCAAGGTTCTTTCCTTTTTGTCCTTCTTCTTGTATGCATGCTCTTTTACCTGAAAGCTTTTCAGTCATTTAAGAGACTCCCCCACTTAAAGACAATCAGATTCATGGTTTTATGTTAACTGGAAATGGCCTCAAGTTGTGCCAGGGGAGGTTTAGATTGGATATTAGGAAAAATTTCTTCACGGAGAGGGTGGTCAAGCATTGGAACAGGCTGCCCAGGGAGGTGGTGGAGTCACCATCTCTGGAAGTGTTCAAAAAACGTGTGGATGTGGCACTTCAGGACATGGTTTACGGAACATGGTTTAGGGGACATGGTGGCGCTGGATTGATGGTTGGACTTGATGATCTTGAAGGTCCTTTCCAACCTTAGTGATTCTGTGGTCAAAATAGAACTGAAAAAAACAATTCGTGCACTGCTTCAATAATTCAGAATCTTCCTTCCATACAATAACTTACTGATGAATTTGTCAACACATATTTCCACAGCATATTTCATAGCATTTATTTACTATATAGAAGTGATTTTCAGATGAGTTGTGTTATTTGGCTCAAACACTGTATTGCCTGCTCTTTTAATAGAGAGTTGAAAAATTTTTTGTTTGAGCATCAGCTAAGGATCAAAGACAGAACTTCAGCTTTGAACAGAAACACAGGTTGTACAAGATGCAATATTAAATACCTTTGCCTTATTCTGATTTAGAGGTCAGAGTGGGAAGTCATATTGATACGTGTATTATCACTGATTCTATATGAAATACGCTCTCCGCATGAAATACTGAACTACATGGAAGATAGGTTTCAGAAGATTACCACAAACTGGCAAGGGAACAATCAGTCATTTTAGTTCAGGTGAGCAAAATAAAATCAAATCATTAAGTTATTTTTAAAATTTATTAATCAGCACATAAACAATGAGTTCTTATTACTGAGAACCGAACATCTAAAAAGAAAAAAAAAAAATACATCAACTAATCATTCAAGTCAGTTATGCACATGTCCCCACAATGCAGATGAATTCACTGCATGTAAAAATAGACAGGAGGACAGATACACAGAAGTCTGTATAAAACTTGAAGGCGTTCATGTACTCAAATCCCACTTCTAATTCAAATGAAAATTTAGAAATAGCATAACGAAAAAAGCATATTCAAATAATTTTCAGTTCTTTCCAGTAGAACCAAAGCCACCTTCGCCACGTTCTGTATCATCTAGAGCCTGAAAGACATCAATTATAAGTTGGTTTAGTGTCTTAACTTGCCTTTTGTTTCTATACAACAGGTATCGTCTGTCATACGTTTACTCGTAACAATAGCTTTAATTGAGAAACTAAACCAAAAAATTTGAGACATTTTAGAATACCTTTTTTGTACAAGTTTAAACAAATCCCACATTGTGAATTTTTATTCAGGTAGCATTTAACCATGCAGCTTTAAACACTGAAAGTAGTTTTAAAGCAAAGTATTTACCTATGCCATAGATTTCAACTTACATAGAACTATCTTAAACTATTAATTATTGAAAATAGCAGAAGTGTCTCTTTTTGGCAACTTACTTCAACTTCTTCAAGCTCAGGATAGCAAATGCGTTCACAGATGAGCTGGGCAATCCTATCTCCTTTTTTAACTGCAATGAAGTTAAAATATTATTCGTTTCTTCAAAAAAAGTGAACAATCAATACAAAGTTTAGACAGTCCCCTTTCAAGGGTATCAGAATGTACTAAAATGTACACACTTATTTGAAACCTAGTTAAACAGACTTTAATAGCCCCAGAAAAATACAGGCTAAGATAAGCTTGTGCTTAGGCCTTTTAATGTGAAGTTTCAGCAGCAATACCAGCTCAAGGCATCTCCCCTCATTCCTACTGCTATACTGTGGCATCTTAAGTGTCATTATGCATAAATACTGCAGAAATGGAGAGACAGGTGTATGTATAATGTGGCTCCTTTTCTGAACTTGACCCAGGAACTGATTTCTCGGGGGGGACGGACGGGGGGGACACCACACTGATAAAAGAAAAACAAAATTTCTGATTAGTACCCAGTCTCGTTCACAGAACTGCCATAAGAAGTTTGTGCTGTGACGTTACAGAAAAGGCCACAAAAACACTGGCAATATTGTAGCTGGGCCCTGAAGCTTAAAACTGACTGTTTGCAGACAGACAGCATGATTAATGAAAATCATATCTTTAATACTCATATTTCCCAGGATCATAGAGAGGTTTTTATCTCAAATATTGCTCAGCTAGCTCGTTTTTCTGCAGAGCAAGAAAGAAACTTAATACAAAGCTGCGCTTCAGTACAGCTTATGACTCTAAAGCTTAGCTAAGCAGGGGTGTGTGTTTGTTTGTTTTGGTTTGGTGGTGGTGGTAGTGTGGTTTTGGGTCATTTTTCATGTTTCCTTGACAGGACACTGCTAAGTTTCCATGTTTTTGTTAATTGCAAGAAGAAAAGTGTTCTCAGCTAATTCTAACTCTTCATAGACTTTTAAAGAAAAAGTGGTTTCTCATTTCCAGTTAAATGGCTGAAAACAGGCTCTGCCAACCTTAATACTTACCTTCAAAAGTCTCCTTGCCAAAATTGAAGAGTACCACACCAACATTTCCCCTGTAATCCTCATCAATAACACCAGCTGTCATAAGAAAGAATTAAGAGGGATAACCAGTTAATAAATGTTGTCAGTAGATGAGATAAATAGATTAGATAACGTTTGGATTAGCAGATTGTTGCAGTACCTCACATTGACATCCTTTATACTAGTCAGGCACAGTTAAACAATATATATGAAAACACTTAAATATCTAAAAATGCTAATCAATCTTGCAAAAAGAACTGAAAAACACCACCACGTATCAAGAAGTGTTTTACCACTGAACTACTAATTTTAGTTGTAACACCCTATCTGAAATCAAGACAGCTGTACCAAATTCAGGCTCCATTTGTTCTGCTAACTTCAGCTCTCTGAGTGTCAAGCTGAAATCTTTTCTCAACTCTAACACTTTATTTGAGAGCTATGGATTTGCACAGATCCAAACCCCATATCTCAGACAGGGTAATGGAATTAAAGCTTTAAGGAATAGATTGTCATTCAGCTATACTGAAGTGTAAATACTGTAGAACAAGCTTGCTCTTATATTTTATATAACTGTATTAACTACATAGTTCAGGGGATTATCTACCAATACACATTAAAATAATCACATTATCCTTCTTTGGGGTTTTTCTCTCAGATACAGGAAACATATTTCCCATGGAAAAACTGGAGTTTGGTCTTCCTTGTGGACCAAAGTATATGTTTTGAAGTCTACTTGCAGAAGTAATTCAAATACTAAAATTATATGTCATTCCAAGATATTCCCAGACTCATACATACAAAGTACTACCTTTAGAGATTATAAACACCAGAGGAAAATTGTAGGATGACTATACCTTGAAGTTTTAATGTTGAACCACAACATACACACTTAAAAATAGAAAACTGAGGTGTGTTTGCTTAGTTCCTTCAGCTGTGTGAAAATATTGCAGTACATATGGTCCATAGTTACGGTACAATCTCTGCACCAGTTCTTGCATGAAAAAGGTATATATACAGCTCTCTCTCCTGTGTAATGTTACGGGTTAGTCCAAATCACATTTCTGAACAGCTTCTTAATTAAGGTGCTAGTAACACTGGGAGTATCCCAGTTCTGAAAATTCAGAAAACATTCAGTTCTCAAGTTAACTCACTGGTATTTAACTGCATTCAATTGCTTAAAGGGACACTAATTACAGAGCACTGTCAAAAGTAACAGTGAACAAGACATTGGGGTTGCTGTGCATGAATCAAACAGCATATCCTGTTTTCCAGAATAAAAAAAAAAATATTTTTAAAAAATCTTGAATGTAGCATTCAGTTCAGTTGATTTGGAGAGCTTGAGGTACCAAAGCTCCATGCACACATCTTGTACTGTTTATTTGGTTTAGGTTAGACCAGCTTTCAGAAAGTCAACTACACATCAGTTAAATTGAGAATCACAGTGCATCACTTTTATTGGTGATCACAGAGCTTTCTTTCACAATTTCTACCACAGTTCAATGTTGCAATTCAACACTTAAAATACTAAAAATCAATTTTGTTTATAAGCAAAAAAGGCTGAACTATAAAAGAATAACATGAAAATTTTGCTGCCTTCTAGCAAAGTACTATTTCTTTCACCTTTTTAAAATACCAGATAATCTAGAGCATTTACATAATTGCTAAACCAGGGGTGACACAAAGCATTAGCAAAGAGTGCTACACAAATAATTTGCTTTGTTTTATACAATAGTGGACACTGAGTTCATACTACATAGATGCATTACAAAGAGATTCAACGAACTTGTAATGGCAGCACAAATAACTTTAAGTATCACTCAAGTTCTGCAGTCAGTTGCCCATTAATTTGGTGTATTTGGTCACATGAGTCAATCAGCTGGAGAGCTGAAAGCCAGAACTCACATTTGGCACATAAAATTATGTACATATGCTCATAGATGCATATAAAAAGATCATTAGCTATCTGGGTAAGTTCTTAGTTTGACAAACCATTCTCAAAAATTGTACTTGATGTATTGGTTAACTGCCAGTGAAGCTTTTTAATCTACCAGGCATTACTGCTATTTTCTGGCAGAGAAATTAAAAAAAAAAAAAAGTATCTAAAACTTAGCTTGTAATGGAGTAACTGGAGCTTAATGGCACATTTTGACCATCTATTTGACTACTGCTAGAGACTGGCTCTCTAGTATTTGAAAACTATATGATAACTAAATATGGAAAAGGCTGACGAATATTTCTGTGGCTAAACTGAAGTCAGCAACACTGAAAACTTAAGTCACTTGTATTATTCACTAGAGGGGAAAAAAAAAACCCCTCACCAAAACGCTCTAATTCTCTCAGCTTAGCTATAAAGTAAACACCTTGTAATGGTTCTACAGATTGTATTGGATGTGTTTTCCAGCAGACAAGAATTGCACTTTCTGCACATTTCTGGGTGAAATCTTTCCATAGGATGCAGAGAAGAAGAGCAGGCTGCTTCTTTAAAAGCTTACCCAATACAAACAGAACTTGCAATTAGAGTTGAAGTTATGCATTAAGAAAATAACATTTAAAAATATGTTTTCTGTCCAAAACGATTAGTCTAATGCTGTGCTGAAACACTGTCAAAGCCATGATAACTTCAAATTCTGTTAAAGACACAGTTGGGTAAAGATTTTGTGAAATGAATTCCCTAACAATCATTTTCTCTTTAAATGTATGCTACTTCTGTTGACATAGTCTTACTGAGTTTAACCACTGTGTGGATTTTGAGTTCAAACTATTCTAGTTGTATCAAAGAACATATGATCTTTGGAAGATACAGGAAAATAAGATCCAGGAAGACCTGGTCAGTTTTCCTTCTGTATAGGGTCACAAACTCACTTTATGTAACTGGGTGTACTGGCAATACACATTAACATCCTTATATACACTGCTGAGGACTAAGGCACTTTTCTCAATTATGTGTATTGGATGGAAATAATCTAAGCAATTTTTGGAAAAATCATGCATTGGAATTGGCAGTCTGACATTCTGTCTTACTCTGTCAGAAGTCTGGCATGTCACTTGTTGGGAGAGCATCCACACCTAGCAGATGTGAATTCTGAACATATTCTCGCATGATCCCAATTTCCCCCCCTGACCCTTAGGACTTCTGGCACTGTATTTTTACTTAAATGGATAATGCCCTCATTGTGACAAAAGTACTTCTGGAGGACAAGTTAAAATTAGCTAACAATTGTTTTGGTTTTTTTTCCTTTAAATAAGAAGTCCTCTACTAACTGTCAGTAATAGTTTTTACTCGTGGTTTGTCGACTGTCAGCTTTTTTTAAACCTGAACATGGGTCATCCTGCTAAGCACTCCTGTTTTTCTGCTGGTATTTCCTAGTTTAACTTTCGAATTGGACAGACTGTTACAGAGCATATGTATTTTTCAACAAAATGGTTTTAGAAGTGTTGCTTTAAAGAACCACACCATAGCAGACCACATATACTACAGAGAGTCATAGGGGTGTATAGAATCTTTGATTCCCATCTTAGTGCTCTTTTGTATGTTACCCAGCAAAAAAAAAACCTTAAATGTAACAGACATGCAAGAATCAATTTTTATTTAAGACAAAGCCTGAACAACACAAAGCTGGCACAGATCACAGAATCATTAAGGTTGGAAAAGATCTTTACGATCACCATGTCCAACCATCAATCCAACACCACCATGCCCACTAAACCATATCCCAAAGTGCCACGTTTACACGTTTTTTGAACACTTCCAGTGATGTTGACTCCACCACCTCCCTGGGCAGCCTGTTCCAATGCTTGACCACTCTCTCCATAAAGAAATTTTTCATAATATCTAGTCTAAGATGCTCCCCTTTAACCTCTGATATCAGAACTGTATCACAGGCACAGCCAGACAGAATAAAGTCATTCTGCAGCAGCTCTAAATTATATTGGGAATTGCTTTGCTTTTTGGCTGGCATCACAAAGAGAAGGATGCCTAGTAACCCTTCCCCACCTTTAGAACCAAGCCTACAAGCACGTAAAGGCGGAGTACCACTGTTTTAAGTAGTCTCTCTTGTTCAACACTGGGGGGCAACACAAATAACAAACCAACAAAACCCAAAAACCTAGCAAAGAAGAAAAGGCCTCAACTTTTCAGTACACTTTTCTTGTCAACTTCTATTATGATTCAAACTATAATGAGCTTGCAAAAAATGCGCTCCCTTGGCCCCCCGAGCACTTTTGAAGATACCCATTAGATGCATATTCTTTATGTCGTTAAATCAGAAACACAGGCTTTAGTTCTTTTACTACAATCTATTGCCAGAAAAACAATTGCTTAGGGTTTTAGGAGGCAGAAAACATTTTATTTAACTGAGAACTGTGTTCCTGTACAATTAGAACAACATAATACACATTTAGTGCTAGTTAAATTGCTGTGGTTACAGCTGTGCTCAGAGTAACTCCATAATAATCTTAGCAGTGAGGAAAACTGTGCAATGTAGATGCCATTTTACAATACTTAAGAGAATCTGCCTGTGCTCCAGTTAGCCCCACTGCAAAACTGGAATTGAACTTCCAACATCATTTACTTCATGTTGCAGTTATAGGTATATGGCAAAAAGACAGTGAGGCTTTCATAAAGGCTTCTGATTATAGGTATGCCTATAATAGTGTTTTTGAAGAGGTATCTCTGAATTTCTAACCAAGATTAAAGAAAAGCTCAAAATATTTTTAAAAAACACCCTGTTATTCAAAACAAGTCTGTTGGTAGTATTGAACAAAAAAACCCAAACAGTAAAGACGTGTAGAAAGTGGGATTTTAGTTTTATTTCTGGTTCAAAAGGCTATCAATTTTTAAGTCAATGTACAATGTTATGAATTTAAATTTCATTTGCTTTACATAATTTATTATATTTTCATCAGCAAGAGTAAACTAAAGCTCTTTTAATCCTAATAATCAGTTCTACCCACAGTAATGGTGTATTCCAGTGCTTTCAATCATTCCTTTTGAATATCAATACTATATATTCTCTGTGTAACATATGCTATTGATTTAATTCATTCAGATCTTACACTAGACTGAAAAGAATCACACATAGATTTTTAGTCAAAATGGAGAAAGCAGAATGTAAAAAGTAATCTTTAAAACCTAAACCAAGAAATACTCGTATGCCAGGCATTGCCTACAAAAGTACAATATGGTTGTTATTTAAAAAAAAAAGAAAAAAATCAGTAATTTTTTAATGATTTAGCAGGTTTTAAAAAAATTATGCTACCCTGGCTCCGAGTTATCTCCTTTTGCCAGACTACTAATGAAGCGATAATTACTTACTTACACATATTACAGTGTGAAATTAAGGCACTCCTGCAATCAAGATTTACAAAGTCTTAGTAAAAAGAACAAAAATCTTACCACCAACATCTATGAAGTGCTTTGCTGCTAAACCAGAACGCGGTGCTAGAAAACAAGAATTTTTTTGTAAATACAATAATTTGTTTCTTTTAAAACTCTTACACAGTATTTATAGGTTACGTAGTGTGTTTGCACAGAGTCATAGCAGCAAGAACTGTTTCCACAGTCTTTCTAAAATAAAAATGATTTTACAGGAACTCCTGTGTTACCGTATATATTAAACAAAACAACAGCTGCTACAGGCTACAATCACAAAAAAAGTGATATAAGCATATCTTTTTTTACACCACCAATTTCAGACTAGGTATCTCAAAGGAAGGTGGCTGGAGCACACAATGACTATCTATCTCAGTTTATTTCAAACCAGTGGTAGCCACCAAAAATAATCTCAAAAGACTATCAGATCAATCCATTCAGGTTACGATGGAAAACAGTATCTGGCAAGCACTTTACTAAGAAATACTATACACAAATAAAGTCAATGATGTGCAGGGTGGTTTTGTTTTTTGTTTTTTGTTTTTTTTTTAAGCTTACCTTAGCCTGCTTTTAATGAGGTGCTAAAATGTTACCCTGTTCTAAATTTTTTTTGTCTGGGATAAGAGAAACGCACATGCACTCCCCTTTTAGATGAAAGGACATGGCA